AAGAGCGGTAATAGCACTCGAACATGGAAATATTTTAATGTAAAAAGCAAAATGTATTTTATAAGAAACATTTTTATAATTTTATATTTAAAATTTTTTGGAACTATCAAGATGTTCTAATATATTGTTGTAATTGTTACTTTTTTAAATGATAAATATTTTTATTTTGTTCATTTTCAATTTTATTTAAAATAATAGTGTTTACCTAAATACATTTAATATTACAGGTTATGGATGAAATATTCAACAAAAGGCCATGGGTAACTCCAATTTCAACATTAGATTCTGGCAAAACAATCCCAATATCTTCTGAAGAAGAATATATATGCTAACGAAAATAATGTCCCATCATCAACAAAAACTAAATTGCCTATGAAACGTAAGTATCATGTCTCTCTCTGTGTGTGTGTGTGTGTTTTTTAATTATTTGTTACACTGGTATGCACTAGTTCAGAAGTTCTGGAAAATAAAACAGACCTACTGTTATACATTTATTATGTCATTTATTACAATATATATTTTATTAATTATAGGGAAAAGGCGTTCTGCATTAGAGAAAATGTTTGAAGAAAATACAAATATACGTAAAAAGATGCATGAAGAAGCTATGGCACGACAAGACAAACTACTTGATATTTTAAGCAAAGTTCTTCAGAAATAATATGTGATACAGGTCAATAATTCTAAGAAGATTGATTTTTTTTATAAGAAGACTGATTATTTAATATAAAGGAAGACAATTATTCTTTATTACAATTTAAGTAGTTGCTAATTCTAAAAAAAGAACTGTGATACAAATGATTATATAGGAGAGAAAAATGTTTTATTTTCCTGAAGAGAAAATATTTTTATTTTTTTTAAAGAGATACATTTTTTATGTTGTTAGCACTACAGTTTTGTCTTTGTTAATATATATCAAAATATATGATAACATATATATAAGTCAATGTGATATTAAACTAAAAAATACTTATATTTTAACAATACAAAAAAAATTTCTTTTTATTTTAATATAAAACATAAAATATAAATAGCGACGTAACATGAATATATATAAGTGATGAATGTTATAAAATATTTTATATTATAAAATATATATAAATTAATACATAATATTAGTATATATTAGTATATTGCATTCTGCACAATATTTGTACATACGCTGTATTCAAGTCATTTATTATGTGTTTATCATAAGTAAATTTGCACAAATATTATTTCTTTTAGCTGTTACAACATTCCGGTCATTATACTCAATAATTCCGTCTCTAAATAATTCTGCTTCTTCGACTTCTGTTTGAATGTTTCGCACGTTTTCCAATTCATCTTTTTGCAGCAAACAAATATTGTGCAGTACGCAACACGCTAATATATGATAAGGTGCGAAATCTACACAATTTACTACCAGAACATGTAATAGACTTCGCCAACGGCCTTTTAAAAGAGCAAACGCTCTTTCAATTACCATTCTAGTTGAAGAATGACACAAATTATAGTTTTTCTGATATTGTGTAAGATGGCCGTTATCAGGATAAGGAACTAATAAATGTTTATGTAATGCATAAGCTGCATCTCCAATTAAATGTGTATTATTAGGAAATTTCATTGGATTATTAATATATTCTTGTAGAGATGATAAACGGAAAACACGAGAATTGTGAACAGAACCCACATTTCCGACATAGATGTGTGTAAAATACCTTGTATGATCACAAACAGCCTGTAATTAACCTAAAATCTTCATTTAATTATTGACAAATTCAATATTGCTAATTTTTATCAAGTATTTGACAAATTGATAATTCATAATAACGTATCATGAATAACGTAACAGTAAAATAAATATAATATCGAATTAATAAACAACAGTTTTATTTATCAAATTTTTTATCAAATATTATCATTTTATTTCTCAACATCAAAAAAATATGTTCTATGTAATTGTATTATGATACAAAGTCAATAAGTATAACTAGAATTTAACATGCTTGCCTGTATGAATCTGGAGTTGCAAAACGCCATAAACTTAACAAAATTTGTTTGTCTGGTGCTATCATTTCGTTCCCACTAGTATTACGGCAAAGTTGTTCTCCAATTTCATTTAAGATGAATTCAAATGTTGAAGGTTTCATTCTTCAAATTACACGATAATCAGTATAAATTTATGATATTTCTAATTTTGTAATTTTTAATAAAATACATACAATAATATATAAATTAATTAAAAATAAAATAACGAATAGGTTATAATAAAATCTATTATCAGCTTTTATTATATACATACATATCGAAAATGCGATTTAAAACTTTCACTACTGAGTGACGGTACTATATGTTCGACATAATTTTCAATATTATAAATATTAGGTGCGCAACTAAGTTCTCGCTGTTATTTTGATGAAAATGCAACTTGATTGTGAAAAAATGGTTACAAATGAATCATTGAAAGTATTGCCCATCGCTAGCTACTACTTTTTCCCATCTTTCTGGCAGAGCTACTTCCCATTTCAGCGTTTGCAGATAGGTTTTAACGGGTTTTGCAACGTGAGGCCGAGCGTTGTCATGCTGTAGAATCACTTTTTCGTGCCTCTCCGCGTATTGTGGCCGTTTTTCGCACAGTGCTCGGCTCAATCGCATCAATTGAAGTCGATACCGTTCCCCAGTGATGGTTTCGTTCGGTTTCAACAGCTCATAATAAATAACACCGACCTGGTCGTCAACATCGAAATCATCGTCTTTGAAGCGACGGAACCAATCTCGGCACGTTGTTTCACTTAGAGCAGCATCTCCGTAAACTTTTTGGAGCTCTCGATGCGCTTCAGCCGCCGTTTTCTTCGAATGAAAGAAGAAAATCAATACTTCCCGCATATGACGATTATTTGGCACAAAATCAGACATTTTCACACAACCAAAAGAATATAACGTCAAAACAAAATCACTAATGTGTCGAAGCGGTTTGTTTACCATATGTCTAAGCTTGGTTCATGACGTTTAGATTATGTCAGAATCGACCAGCACTTACTGCTGGAACCATCTATTGACAAACAGCGGGAACTTAGTTGCGCACCTAATACATTTTCTGTTTTTTTTCATATTCAGAGGTTATTATCATGTCCATTATATCGTCATCATCGTACAGATATTTTGTACATTCTAAATAATTTTGTGCAATATATATTGCTATAACATCGTTCATTTTTATGAACTTTTGTTCCCACTTTCGTAAAAATTTATGTAAATTTTTTTCTAGGTTGCCTCGAAAATAAATGCTAATGCTTCGATACACTTCAGAACGCGTTAGACCGGTCAACTTAACTAGTATTGACAACATTTGTAGCGCTACTTGACCGTTCCATAGAAGCATTGAAAATGAAAACGTTTGAAGCATTTGAAAGTGGCAACTCGACCGCACCCTTAGACAACAGGAAAATGACTGCTCATGAAGGACTCGATACACTCGATGTCTTCCCGATCTCTCTTTTCAAAATAACTCAAGGCGCCAATCAGGCACCTTCTAAAATTCATGTGACCAACAGTACATGCGCAATAGTGAGAGACGGTGAGACGTCCAATCACCGTTCATTGGCATGATGCATGACCTGCGCGATCGAGACAGAGCCACTCGGCGGACTAAATATATATATATATATACGTATATATGTATACATGTATACATATATGTAAATATATGTATATACAGGGTGTCTGGAAACAATCGCCAAATATTTCATGGGCAGGTAGAACGGATTAAACTGAGTCGAAAAGTTCTCTACCATTTTGCAATTTTCACAATATAATTAACAAAATTTTAATTACTAAAAATTGTCAAATATTGGTCTTGAATAACTTTTACTTAAATACTATCAACTTTACAAAAAAACTGCAAAAGACAAAAATCATTTATTTTCTTTTCATAAAGTTCTGAGAATTTTTTCAGAATTTTTTAATACCGTATTTTCTCATGTTGGTAAAGATAAGAAAATGCAGTACTAAAAAGTTGATTAAAAATTCTGAAAAAAATTCTTAGAGCTCTAGGAGAAGAAAATTAATGATTTTTGTCTCTTGCAGTTTTTCTGTGAAGTTGATAGTATTTGAGTAAAAAATTATTCAAGACCAATATTAGGCAATTTTTAATAATTAATATCTTGTTAACTACTGCGAAAATTGCAAAATGGTAGAGGACTTTTCGACTCAGTTTAGTCCGTTCTACCTGCCCATGAAATATTTGGCAATTGTTTCCAGACACCCTGTATATGTATAATGATGAATTCGATTACTCGCACTTTTACACTGCGGATTAATTATACACACTCATATATTAAAGGCTGCTTTATATAAAATGTATAATATAATGTCGTAGCATATATAATTGCAATATTCAATTTGGACACCCAAAGGACGCTCATTGCATATATAGTAATTATATATTGCAAAAGACATACATGTATAATGGGTGCTCAAAGGACATCCTTTGAATGTCCCTTTTTTTGGACCTTATCGGAACACGAAATGGACACTAAATGGGCGTCCATTTTTTGGTCGGGACGCCCATGTGTCGTGTGGGTAATGTTACGATGGATAGAAATACTAAAAAAAGAAAACCAGAAGAAAATGAAAAAGATAGTGAACATGATAATGATAATGATGATGGTGGTGGCAATTTTTGGATGGATAATTCATGGCTTCAATTAACACCGTCGTCTAAAAAAAAGCAACGTATACAAGAATCGAATGTTACGTCGGATTTCAATTATGCGTCACCTGAACCACACAAATTATCATACGAACATTCACACGTTCCATCAGTCAAAGATGTTTATGAAACATCCCCAGTGAACCGCTTGAAACATTAGTTCAACAATCATTGCAAACGCGACAAGTTCGTGAAGAGTTGCGTAATCAATTGGGACCACTTGGACAAAAATATATAAACATGCTTTTCGGTGGTGACAGAGAAAAGGTGATCGATCACGTTTATGGCGTATATCTCAGCGAGAACGGCACGATGCTCGGTGACAAATGGTTCGATATAGACATGAATGACTTTGTGATCTAGATGAAGTAAAGTACAAAGGTACGCCTGGGTTGTACGAATTAATTTTCAAAAGAATTCCCGACGACACTATTTATACAGAGAATAATAAACTAGCATATAAGAGTATACTATTAGCAACGAATACTCATAGGCACATAAAGCGGATAATCCAATATTGGGTAATAAACATAGATATTTATATGTAACTAGATCGCTAACTCCCCTATATATCGTGCATAAAAATTGATTCCAAAACCTATGTATTACATAGCGTGACGTAGGAACATCCGATCACGTGGTCACATAATGTGTAATGGCCACGATGGGACCACATGTTTGATGAATGATATACAGCCGGTCAGCGAAACATTGCAACACTTTTTAGTTACAATGCCTATAACTTGCCGCATAAAAAGTTGTCACAGTATAAGTGGAAAAAATCCGGAGATAATATTTCATAGGTAAATTGTAATCAATCTAGTATTTTATTGTAGAGGTTATTATAATCCTTTACCTTAACTTTTCAATATTTATTTTTAATTTTTATATAGTTTAACTTTTTTTAAACTTTTATTTTCGTCTGAATCAATGAAATATATTTAAAGTACTTCTGGGAGAAATAGTCTTCTTTTTTCAAGGCTATTGTGTTTATTACCTTTCAAATTAATTTTTCAGATTTCCATTTAAAAATCCAAAAATACTTAAATATTGGATTGCAGCAACAGGACGAAATCCTCGAATGTCCGAATATGTAGTTTGCATTTCATAAACAATGATTATTATGATATAAACAATAAACGAATTTTAAAACCAAATGTTATACCAACACAGCATGTACATTCAAATCTATTGGCAGTTTTTCAGAAAAGTGCAATGAATAAAATTAATGAATGTAATTAAATTATATAATTATATATCATGATAATAAAGTAAGTGAATAAATATCAAATCAAAATAGCACATACGCACTTTATACTTTTTCTTAAATACATAAAACATAATAAAATAAAATACACAATACATATGGTATTAAATAAAATAAAAATATATTTGTTATAGATAATCCAATTAATGATGTTGTTCTGAAAGAAAATAAACAATCTGGAAACTACAAAAGTGATGATGCAGTTACATTAACAGGTATGTTCCAATTTTCTTAAAAAACAGCTACATGCAGTATAAATCAAAATAGCGTATACAGGGTGGGGAAAAAGTATGGAAGCAAACAATTATTTCCGAAACTATTCATTTTTCGACAAAATGTCTTAGACATAATTTTTATGGTATGAAAAGATGTATTATGTGGCATAGACGGCATGACCTTGAAATGACCCTTACGAGCTGCATACAAATAACGTAAAAAATTTCAAATGGAACTCGTCAGTTTTTGTTACAGATTCGTGTAGCTGATGTCGAAACGTTTACAAAACACTGCATATGAGCCCCATTCCCTTAAAAACACTCCCAGTTAAGAAACAATTGTGATAATTCGTATCGACGAAATTGAAAATAGAAGGCGTACGTGTTATTTACATGTAAATGTAATCTTCGCTTCGATCATTTCTGCCGATACGAAAGACACGCGAAGTTCGTAGAATCAGTTAAGGCGTACATCGAACCGTACTCAAGGAAAGAGATTGCGTGATTCATCCAACCAGTTAAGGTAAGATAAGTGCGATTCATCCAACCAGCTAAGGTAAGATAAGTGCGATTCATCCAACCAGCTAAGGTAAGATAAG